ATAACAAAAAAATTTAAATATTTTATAAATTATTTAGTTATTTAAATAGCTAAGTATTTATTATAACTATATTTTAAATAGTTAAAATAACGAAATTCATGTAATAATAGTATAAATTATGATTTTGTGGATAATTAAATTCCATAAATAACTAATATTTTACATATAATTTAAGTATTTAATTAACTAGGTATTTTTAATAACAAAATAGTTAACATAATTAGTTTTTAAATACCTAAAATAAAGAAATTATGTAATAAATTAAAAAAAATCTAAAAGTAGAAAACTAATTATAACATAATATTGAAATTAACAATGGTTTAATATTCTTACATAATATTGTAAATAACTAATTTCACTTATATCAAGTAATAATTTTAGAAAATAACTTTCAAAAGAATAATATTTATTAATAATAATTTCAAACTCTTATTCTGTATTTATTATATAATTATATATACTAAAATTAACATTTATTGTATTTCAATCATTATTTATTGTTTTTGTCATAAATTTATTTTCAATGGTATGTATAAATTTATTTTGTTTTTTTATTTAATATAAAACTTTCAATCATTATTGGATATTAAACTACTATTAGTGAAAATTTTAAATTTAATTTATTGTATTTTTGTTATAACTTATTGATTAATATTTATTAGAGACTAAACTATTATTTGAGATTATATTATTTATTGTCTAAGTTAATTTATTTTTAGTACTTATTGTTTTTTTGTAATTATTGTATTTTTTCATTATTGATATATTTTCAATAATTATGTATTTTTTTTTATAAATTTTCAATAATTATTGGAGATTAAACTATTATTGTTTATTAGAAATGAGACTATTACTTTAGCTGAAATTATGAGTGTTCATTTGTTGGTTCGGTTCGGTCATAGGCTATTTGGCCAACCAAATTTCCATGGTCATGTTGGGTAGTTGGTTAACTGAAACCAACTGACCTTTTGTGAAAATTGACCCACTCAATTTGTATCGGTTTGGGTTAATTTTTTGGTTTGGTCATTCGGTTCAAAAGATTTAAACTTAAAAATTAAATTAAATTTTAAAAATTATAGTGCAATTATTAAAAAATAAATTTAAAAATTAGATTTTTGATATAAAACATTTTAGACTAAGAAATTTGGGAAATTTCCCACTTTTTCATATTAAAAATTATATTTAAAATATAAAATATTAATATATATATCCATGGTTAGGTCACTCGATTTTGGTTGGTTTACAAATGGCCAATGAGAAATTGATCCAACTTGGTCGAATTGAGAAATTTTTGAACCAAAGCCGATTAGGTCATTCGATTTTGGTTGGTTTACAAATCAGGTTGGTCGATTTCATCAATTTGCTAAATAAATTTAACTGAAATTAATTATTGTTACTTTTGTAATATAAAAAATTTATTAAAAGCAGTATATAAAAAATATAACACGGTATACTCTTATGTGATTCTATTAGTGTCATTTACTAGAACACATCTTATAGTTTTACATATTTACTTAAACCTACCTTATAGTTTYMWTTTWTTAAAACATCCCATATATTTTACAACTTATTTACTTAATCGACCTTTCATTAAGGAGTGTTTGTTTTGCCATTAGGCCCATGATTTTTTATTCCAAAAATATCCTTAACACTTTTTTTTGTACAGAAAACAAAATTAACCAAATATAGCCAATAGAGTGGTTGCGCGTCTTATAAAGGGGCAAAAATGGTATTTTTATTTTTATTTTTATTTTTCTTTTGATTAAATTTATTTAAATGAAAATTAGTGTCAACGCTATCATTTTCCACTATCATCTAATGGAAGATTGATTAAATCCATTGCAAATTATAAGTGGTGTTTTAGTAAAATTTTAACTATATGGTAGATTTTAGTAAATCCATGAAATTATAAGGGGTATTTTCGTAAATGCCTCTTTCCACTATTTAGCTTTTGTTTAATAAATCCCATGCATTGCACGAGACCTCGCTAGTATAAATATATTAAGCTGAAATGTGTACGTAAGAAGGCTTGAAGACGAAGGAAATGGAATCTAATAGTACTTTTTGCCTTTTCTTCATAGAAATTACAAGAATGCCACTCTACCAACTCTCTCTTTTGCTTTTTTTTTTCTTTCAAATTACAAGGATACCATTCTCTCCTACCAACTCTCTCTCTCTCTCTCTCTCTCTCTCTCTTGCTTTTTTCTTTCAAATTATAAGAATGCCACACTCTCTCTCTGATCCATGGTTTTTAGAACCGAACCGGTAAGGGCACCGTTTTTCGGTTCGGTGGTTCAAACGTCTAGGTCGAACGGTTCGACCCGTGATGTCATAAATAAATAAAAAAAATTAAAAAATACTTATATATAATAAAAATACCATAGAAATTTAAATAAAATACGAAAAATATAGGAAAAAGAATAATACGTGAAAAAATACAAATAATAGAATACATAAAATTTTCCAAAAAATGTAGAAAATTTTCCAAAAATATAGAAAAAATTCCAAAAAATTCCAACTGTAGTACTTAGACCCTTTGGCCTACCCGTAGCATCCATGCCAGAAGATATGTAGTCTAATAACCAAAAACCCAAGGCCCTAATGCAAGGCAGCTTGGATCCATCTTGCCTTGGGGTAGTCTAATAATCTGTAGTTCTGTACAGATCTGTATTTCGAAAAGATCTACAGTTTTGTACATTCTTCAATAAAGGGGTAGTCTAATAAATATTAGTAATATACTTATAGCTGTAACCAAACACCACAACCTACATATATATGAAGGTCTTTAAGGACATAATTGCTACTGACTAATTGTCAAGAACTCATTAAATATATTTTGTATGTTCAAGAAGAGGGTTGAACAACCACCTTGTCTCCTTTTTGCTTCAGATTTTGCAAAGAATTTCATCAATTCATGAGTCATTACAAACACAGGTTCTTCCTCTTCTTCTTCTTCTTCTTCTTCTTCTTCTTTTTCTTCCATCAAGTCCTTTTCCCCCTACTTATTAGAAAATACCCATTATAATAACCTTACCATTAGTTAGATAAATAAAATTTTTAATTAACAAAAAAAAGTTATAACTTATAATTGAGAAACAAAATCATTCCTTGAGAAATACCCTTATAACAGCTCAATGCACCTTACCATTAGCTATTCCAGGCTTCCAACTTCTATTTTCTTTGAGTTTCTGACAAGCCCTTTTAACTTGTATTCCAAATATACAAAGAAAAAGGTAAGAAAAAACTTTTACCAGGCCATAAGCAATGCAAAGTATAAAAGGAGTACTTTCTTCCACCTTATGGAAAGGGACCCCTTTAGATGGTCAAGTGTTTCAGAGTTTCCTCTGGACTTCCTGTTCAAAAACACTAAGAAGACAAGAAAAGAAATTTTGCAAAAGATTCCATTCATAATGCTATAACATCGTGCATTCTTAATTCATCAAACATAATACTTAGATACTCAAAAATAAAAAGATCATAAACACAAGTAACAAAAAGATCAAAAACCAAGTTCACCAAGTATTAAAAACAAATCAAAACTTCAAGTTCAAGATAGAGTTTGGTTCACTAATCTAATCATCCAAATTCTCCGGATATGTTGGCCCCACTTCTCAATGGTACCAACTACCAACCAAAGCCAGGTGGTATTTCACCATCATCTTCATCTTCATCTTTGGGAGGTTGTGTTTCATCTACATCTCCAACTTGGGTGTTGGCTGCATTTTCTTCCATGATTCCCCATTGTTCAATGAAAAATTCATCATCATCTAAAAAATGAAAATAGAAAATTAGAACTCAAAAAATAGCTAAAATAATCAAGTATGGAAATGTCATTTGAGATAATATCAATCATAGTTACCATCAGTCCTAACTCTTTTTCTTGATGGTGATTCTATTATTGGAAATGTTGTTTCATCAGCTTTAGACATAGCATCCTTTTCATTACCATCAAGTAATGGAGGATCCTCATCATCGTATACTATCCAATCCTCCACAACATCAACATGTTCATGCCCAATTGGGTCAAGACTTTCAGCTTTTCTCCTACAAATCAATAAACGATACATTAGATGCAATGCAAGCATTAAAAAAAAATCATGAAACATAAAAGTTAAAACACTTACCCATCCATCACATGCAGGTTGCAATGAACATATACTAGGGATCCGTACAACAATCATTTTCAAATTTGGAGTGTCACAACCAAATTTCGACCACCATTCACCTATATACAATGAAATAGAGTTAATTTAATTTATAAAATAAAATTGAAAAATGAAATAATAAACATGTTATAAGAAAAAAATATTTATTACCTGGAAGCGTTGACTTAAATGTCTTCACTGAGAAAGGTCTTCCAAAATTACCACGACAATTTTCAAAAAGATTAAGCTCTTTGTTCAGCTTTATCTCCACATTATCTGATTTGATTGCAAGTTTTCAATGGCATCAAAACAGTAGACATAACGATCGGGGATTTAATTTTTGATTTCAGATCATATTGGAAGGCTGGGTTAAAATAATACCCTACAAGATGAAGCCTCTGACCCATTTGTCTATTCCATCTTCTATTAATAATGTCCATGATTGGGCCATATTCAACTTTCTTATAATTAAAAAACTTTTTCAGTGATTCTTTTGCCTTCAACATTACATGATACATATACCCCATTGCAGGCCTAAACTCAGAATCTGCAAGTCTCAATGCACTAACAAGAGGTGATGTGAAACCCACAATCATTTTGCATTGTGCCCAAAATTCAGAATCCAAAACTACTTGTATTACTTCATTCCCCTTTGCATCTTTTGCATACATAGAATCAATAAAACTCCAATCTATCACCAAATTTTGCAAATCATGCATGTGCTTCAAAATGCTATCCAATGCAATGAAATTAGTTGCAAAACGAGTGGCTCCAGGACGTAATATCTCAGTCCAATCAGATCTCTTCCTTAGCATTGAGAGTACAAAAATATGATTGTAAACAAATTTGGTAATTCTAAATGCATGTTGAACCACATTTGCAACATAATCCATTTCTCCAATTTCTTTTAACATCAAGTTTAGACAATGTGATGCACAAGGTGACCAATATATCCATGGAAATTCTGCTTCCAACAGCTACATAATTTGCAGCATTGTCAGTGACCACCTGAACAACATTTTCTACTTTTATCCAATCAATGACTTCCTTAAACAAAAGAAATAAATTCTTTGCACTCTTGAATGTTTCAGAAGTATCTACAGACTTCACAAATGTAGTTCCTGTAGGACAATACACTAAAAAATTAATCAATGTTCGGCTACGTGTATCTGTCCAACCGTCAGCCATTATAGTACAACCATATGTAGCCCAATCATTATGGAGTTTATCAACTGACATTTGCTCCCCATGAATTAAATATTTCAACGAATTGGTCCTACAATTATGATATGAAGGAGCTTTGTACCCTGGACCAATAGTAGCAAGGGCATCCAACATAGGCTGAAAATATCTTGAACGCAAAGCATTCAAGGGAATACAAACATCACACAACCACTTCATAACAACATGGTCCACGTGATTAATTGCTCCCTTAGATGCCAATACACTCTTAATTCCAGGTTGTGCACCTGGAGTGGTCCGTGGAGCAAAATGGCTAGTTATTAGCACTGAAGATGCTTTCCCCTTTCCCGATGATGTAGTTGGGTTTTTCCCTTGATAGGTATCATGTGCACTAGGTGGATCTATTTCTCTAATCTCAATATCATCATTATCATTCCTTCCACATTGTGCTCTAGTGTCAACAAAATTCATTGGTTGCTTTTCACTTTTTTTTTTGTCATTGATTTCATTCAACGATTGCTCAATTTTGAACCTTACATCATGAGGTACTTTACGACAAATTGCAATCTCACCTTTCCTTTGGGCAATATGTTGTTTCATCCTATTAATCCCTCCCCCTTTAAAAGTCTTTTGACAATAAAGACATGTCATTGACTTTGATCCATTAAGAGGGTCAATTTTAAGGGAAACATTCTCCTAAGAAGAATCAGTTTTTCCCCTAACATTTGATGAATTGGGCTCTTGTAATGGAGCTGGATCAGATGTATTAGCATTTGGACTTTGAGATTCCATCATCTTAGTTCAATCAAAGAAACCCAACTCAAAAATAAATCCCTTCATACAAACACAAAATATAAAATTTAAAACCTTGCATTGACTAAAAGAACCAACCAAAATGTAAAATTGCTCCATATAAGCAAAAAATAATTAAGCAAATACTTAAGCAAAAAATTAAGCAAATAATTAACCAAAATGTAAAATCACCCCATTAGAAACGAGAGTAAATTGCTTGCAAAAATTTAAGCAAAACTTTCAACATCTGATCATCATATGAAAATTAAGCAAAATATGCATATAAAAATTAAAAACAAATTTATGCCAGATTAATTAAACAAAGAACTAAGCATCTGATCATCAAATGAAGTTTGAGGTTTCAGCAAGGCATATAATCAACAAGAAACTGATACAAAAATACAAACTGCAATTTTCTGCTAGTAAATCTATCAACTTATCGTCTGTTGCTCCTAATTATAAACTATAAAGTATTCACTAAAAGCCTCTGCCTTGCAGGTCCAAAGCCAAATGATGAACCAAATGAAGAACAAATAGGGGCTAATGAACCAAATGAATAAAAAAATTCAAAAAATCAATTAAATCACAAAAAAAATCAGAAAAAAATGATACCTTCAGGGTTTCACTGTCGAGTGCCGGCAATGGTGGTGTGACATTGGATTCGCCGCCGGTGGGCTCGGGCAGTCTGGCTTGGTCGTAGGCAAGTTGTCATTGCAAGCCTGCAAGTGCTGAGTTTCTAGTGGATTCGCTGCCGCTGAAGCCTGCAAGTCGGGCTTGGGCTCGCCAGTGCAAATGCTGAGTGCTGAGTGCCGCTACCTTGTGCCGCTGCAAGCTCGCCGTCTGCCGCTGCAAGTGCTGGATCTTCTTGCCGTTGGACGCCGCTGCAAGTGCTGGGATGAGGGTTACTTTTCGCCACTACAAGCTCGCCGGTCGCCGCTAGTGTGTATCGCCGAAGGTGATGGCCGCCGCAGGTAGACCTGTTCATGGGCCGGGCCGGGCTTTCACTTGTCACAATTGAAAATATACTAGGCCTGAGCCCGAGCCCGGCCCGACCAACGGGCCTATAACTTGGGCCCGAGCCTGGCCCTGGTAAAAAGCCCGAAACCCGAGCCCGAGCCCGAAGCTCGACCTAATTGAAAAAAAAAACAATTTTCCCTATTCAAATTAGAATTAAAAATTCAGATAGTATTTTTTTTCTATTTAAATGAACAATGGGCCTACAAGATGGTATTTTTCCCTTTCTTTTATATTTTAAAACAAAATTTTACATTCTTAAATCAAAAAATTTATTCAAATGGACATAATCACATAACTAATTTTAAGTTTAACA